ATGAAAAGTTAGTTGTATAAAATGCAATTACTTTTACATTTCACACACACACAACACAATACTCTGAGAAGAAAAATGAATGTTTTTCAGTTCCTTCACCTATCTTGGAGGCTTTTCCCCTCATTTTTCACTGGCAAAGGCAGAAGCTTTTTTAAAGATGATGCCATAGGGATGTAGAGGGTTGTTGTTTTTTTTGGTTAATACTGTATTAAAATTCATATCCAATATTTTTTCCCCCTAAAACTATATTGTATAGTTTTTCCCCTACTTCAGCGTATATGGCTTTTGTCATTTAGGATATAAATAATCACCACAAGGTTTTCAAATAAGTGCAGTTTTCTGGCATCTTAAAAACTCATCTATTTTTTTATACAAACTTTCCTAGATTTCAGTCCACTTCATCATACAGAGTCCCCAAGAGAAGAACATTTTATACACACACATTTGATGGAAGAGGAAGAGGTCAGTGCATAACTAGGGAAATAAAATCAAGATTTTTCTTATATTAAACTGTTCTTAAATATGAAGGAATCGTTCATAATTTTCACAATTACCCCTCTGCATAATTTAAAGAATGTAATGGTATATTCTTTATTCTTCTGTCTCTGTAAAATATCTCAGGTTATAACAATTTATACAAAATGGTTGTATAATAGCTGCACCTTTTCCTGGCCTGTGAGCCCTTAGAGTCACTCATGCCTTGTCACCTCATAGATGGACTATCACAACATAAGGACATTTTACATGGGACTAGCCTTGAAAACCATTCAGAAGCTATTGCTGGTCCAGAATGTGGTGGCACCAGCAGCAATGGGCAGGCCATGCTATGCCCATATCACACCAATACTTCATGAATTGAACTGGTTACCCATTAGCTTCTGGGTGCAATTCAAGGTGCCGGTTGTCACCTTTAAAGCTCTACATGGCATAGGGCCTGGTTACTTGAGGGACTGTCTCCTATAGCTTCTGCCCATCCTGTAAGATCCGAGAGTTTATTTGCTCCTGGTCCCACTGATCAAGCAAGGCCCAGAAAGCAGGCCTTCTCTTAACTATACCTGCCCTCTGAAATAGCAACCCCTGGAGATCTGCCGGACCCATACCTCACCAGCCTTTAAAGGAGCACAAAAACATGGTTTTTTCCCCAGGCCTTGGGTTAAGGTGATTGAGGGGACCTTTTGTCTGTTATTATCTTTGCTGATGGAGGAGAGAGTTGGTTGTTATTCTCTGCAGATGATGCTATCTTTGGGTTGTTGTTGTTTTTTTTAACTATGTGTTAAGTAAAGGTTGAGCCTCCCAGAATCACTGCAAGTGCATAGCCTAGAAACCCAATAAGCAAACGTGCATACATGCATGTAGCATCTAAGTACGTGAGTGCATGTCAGACTCAATAAGTGATTATTCATGAAGAAGAATGGAAAGTTTGGAAAACAAACCAATGGTGGTACCCACCAGTTTCCTTCCTTCAGCAGGCAAAGGTTTGCTTTGCGTTCTCTTGTGGGGTGACCTGGGACACGTTGACCCTATGGCAGGGCCTTTTTGTTGGACCCCCCCACCGTTTGAAATGGAGCTGGAGCACGCGCAGTCCTCAAGACTGACTCATGGACTTTCTTTTTGCATTCCATCCTCCAGAGAGTCTCATTTAGAAGAACTTTCCCCCAAGGTTGACTTTCTCATCCTGTTTCTAAAACTCTACTTCTACATTATGATTTAAGGTGTAATAAATAGGATCACCGGTGGGGCTTTGGAGTACAAGAAATTATAGCCTTGGCTTGGAAAAAGTGACACTGCTGCAACTGAAAGATATCCATCTACCACTTTTCAAATCCATTTCAGACAAATGCATAAACATTAGACAACTGAGATTTAAAAAAAAGAAAAGAAAAGAAAAGAACAGTACAGATGAACCAAAGGAAATCAATCTGAGAGGCAGCTCACTTCTTGGTTTGGAGTTAGGCCAATTTCAGGTTCAAACCGGGGGATACAATCCATGTATTTGGATACCGACTTCTGAATGCAACGTACGCATTTAGTTACGTTGCATTTTTTTTGCCATATCAGAGGCTGGGTGCTTCGAGTAAATTCAGGCTCTGCTGTCATGTTTCAGAAAAGCCAATGTTGCACAGACACAGCCTGGCTTGCAAATGAAAGATCAAAGAACTTGAGCTCAGAGAGAGAGAAAAATGCAAACTAGAAAGCATCTTCTTAAGATCCCAAGGCTTTAAAAGTCCCATTATGTGAGTATATATAAATCATTACCTTGCTGGGCTAGCCCCAGTATTAGTTCACTAGATGGCACTAGAGTGCAACATATAAAGATGGAAAATCAGCAATGCTTTTCATGAAAAGATGACCATTCTTCACCCGCTCAACATTTTTTTTTAATCATGACAAAAGTGGAAAAATAAGCAATGCAAATTTTAATAACTCCAGCCAGACCTCAAATTCACATATACAGTATCTCTGATTATTTTAATTCATACTGCATGTTTATTCAAACCTAAGATCAGGGATGGGTGCAAAGCAGAAGCACATTTATTTTTATTTAGTTAGATTTATGTTTCATCTTTTCCCTCAGGAGCTCAAGTAGTATGTGTAACACTTCCTCCTCCATTTTTTTCAATGAGAACCTTATGAGGTGGGGTGCAGGGGGGGGGGAGAGAGAGAAAGCGG